TTCTCCAGCAAAACCCCCCCAAAAAAATCCCTGGACCAAACATTAACCCCCAAAAATCCCATGCCGAATTTCCGAGCCTTAACTCCAGAAATTAAAGCATTACATGTTGTACTTTAATTGTTTGTACTTTATTCGCAGAACTACGTCGCCGGGATACGCGCGCGGGCGCTATCACGAATCTTCAGATTGTTTTGAATAAGCAAAATACACTCTACTTAAATTATACCACCCCAAAGAAATGTTTGCCAAGAATAAAAAATTTCAATCCCGCCAAAAAAACACCTTCGATCATCCGCGTCGCTTGAAATCTGGAGTACCACCTGGGGAAGTTTTGTAAAGCAAAACGCTTTTTTAAAGCTGTAGATTAATTCTCCAGAGATGCTTATTCCCAAGAGCCTCCAATTGTTTGAGGTTGAATTCTAAAATATGGAAATTGCTCAATTCATCTGGAGTAATCAAACAGTAGCTTTACCAGAAAGAGACAAGTAACTCAGAGGAAGAGGCAATCTTAACCGAGGCAGAGCATTTTTGGAAACCCTTTTGGACCTTCACCGTGGCAGACGGTTTGTATCAGTCATTCCGAAGAGATCACACGTTGGCAAGTAGACGTTGGAAATGTTGTGTCAAATTCGTTTAAAAGACACGGCTGGTGCTGCGAATTTATCCCTAGTTTGCCGAACATAGCGCAGTGTGACAACTGCCGACGAAAAAATGGGATCAACAAATGAAGTCCAAGAAAATGGGGTAAGTTCATTTTGACTTGTGTTGTTTTACTGTGGTTGTTAAGCATGTTGAGGGGAATATCAGCAGGGAAATATGACGAGGGTAATATGAGCAGGGAAAATATATATGTTGCATATTTTTTGTTATTGTTACTGCTATTTTTCCAGCGCCGCACTCCTCTGTTACAACCAAAGCCCCCAATCAATCGTTTCAGACAGTGAATAATAATGAGGGGTTATTTTTTCCCCTAAAAAGAAGGAAACCGAGCAAAGTGAAAAATAAGAAAACAATATTGACCCACATTTGTGCCCTGCAACACCTAATTACGTGTAGTTTATTGTTTTTGCTTTGCTTTTTTTTTTTTAATTTCTTTTTTTTTTAAATGGTCAAATGGGCTGTTTTGAGTCCAACCAAATAGGCAACTCCTCTCCACTCAATTATGCTGTAAATCGGTTAATAACAGAAGGGCAAGAATTGCAGTGAGTTTGATTTAGAATTGTCACCGCGACGTAATATGCCAAATAGATTATCATGTTATTAGTCGGAGATGCAAGTACTAGATTTTCCAGACTTTTTCCCCATAATATTATAGAAAAGTCGCTCGCTCACTCGCATTTTCACTTCTCGCCGTCTTTTTCGGTTGTGATCTGCAGGGACCGAAACCTGTCGCAGGCACCAGTACGATTGACTCTTTAGAAGACAATGGCGCTTCACGTTGTTAAACCATGAATCTTTCATTGTCCACTGAACGCGCATTACTGATCTTTGGAATTAACCAATGAGAGGAGCGTGTGTAAAATGTTCGCGTTCACCATGGTTACCAGGGGGCGGATCCAGGATCAGTTTTCTTAGCAGGGGGCGCACCACTAAGGGATGGCGTAACTGACTGGTGACGTAAACAAATTTTATTAGCGAATACGAAGAAGAAGTCTTTTGTCTCAGGCAATAACATAATGTGAACTGCTGAAAATACATTTCAAACGATACAGCAGATTTTGTATAACTGTGAAGCGGACTGCACAGCGTTAATTGGAAAGCCGTAGCTCATTTCAGGGGAGGTTGCGTACCCCCTGCACCCTGCGTTAAAAAATTTACGATTTCGTTTCGATGTTTCGAACGCTTCTTTTGATCTGAGGAATGAGGAGGCAACCTCGTTCCTAGGGCCCTCTCCTTCTCCTCCCCTGGAACTCGAATTAGTAGGGGAGGATCCTGGAAACATGGGTGGTAAGAGATATAGGCCACTTGCACTAAGAGTTCACGTGACCAATACTTCCTTTAAACAATGAGTTGGAATATTGCTGATGCCAAAAATTGACAGAGAACATAAAAATTACCTCACACCCGAAATTTGAGAGGAAACGCATTTAAGGGAGATATTTTATGGCACTTTGATTTTTCAACAATGTAGTATTATTTGTATTGGCCGCCATGTTGGAGGGCATACTCTTGCCCTCCAACATGGCGGCCAAAACTACGTTTTGCTTATATCTTGTTAAACGTTTGATAGTTACGCTCAGATGTGCTGTAAACGTTCCCACATCAACTTTTCAACATTTTCCTTGAAGTTTAAGTGCAAAAGTTTTGTTCAGAAAGAGGAAATTCATAATTTTAAACATCACATTTTGGTCACGTGACCAGCTACGAACTTACTCATTTTAAGAAAATGGTGCAGGTTTGAAAAACCAAATCACTATTATTTTGTTGAAGATATGACCCACTAATCGTTTTTTGAAGAAAAAAATTATATAACTTTCATTTTCATAAAAACCATGTCACATGACCTCTTAGTGCAAATAGCCTACTCCGTTTTGTTTTTCACTTGCATTTTACTCCACCTAAGTTTGTTCTATTTTTCATTTCATTGCGTTAACTTATTGGAGACAACAGATTCGGATTATAAAAAGCTTTAGTTTCGTAAAACATTTCAGCTACAGAAGTGGTCTGCCACACAGCCGTTTGGAGTGTCGTCACGCAAACGACCTTGTAGCAGACTATAACTATACCACAGAAGAGAGCGTAGAAGGATTAAATCCGGGATTAAATATTTCGATATCACAAACCTCCTTTTCTCTTATATAACAAATCATGAACTATGCTTTACATAACGGATTTTTCTGGCACGAATTTTTTCTTACAAATCTAAACTAAATCCTTATAAATGATTTTGTTTGGTTGGGCAATTCTTTCAATTTGTTGTAATGTACGTTATGTAAGCTACATTTTATGTAGGTCAGGCTATAATGCCGCATTTCCGGTTGGTCTAGGTCAAGTGATGATTGAAAGGACTTTCTCGGAAAGAAAAAGGGAAAATTCCCTTTAAATTCCTTTTTGTTTTATCCAGGCACGGTCCACGTCAACAATAGCTAGTCTTGGTTCTGCTGGTGAATATTGGGGAGGTAAAAATATGCAAGCCTGAGTGTGATCGCAGCAAAATGCTTTTTCTTTCCATCTTCCGGCCACGAAGCGTCTTGTTTAAGGTTGGTGTTCTAATCTATGAGATAACGCTGACTGCGTCCTTTGTTTCTTCACCGTTGTTGTTTGGGTTTGTTGTTATAAGAAAAGAAGGTGCGAAGTGGAAATTTATAGTTCTAGTTCAGTTTCAACAAACGTCTGATGTTTGCAAAAGCTTACATGACGTGAAAACCCCTCAAGTCAGTAAAGAATTTGTTTCTCTGTTGTGTACACTCTTATTCGATTGTCTTGGATGCTTAAGCCATAAGGCAAGCATAAAGCGCATTTGTTTGATTCTTTACCGTATCCTTGTCAGGCGACACAGAAGTGATATATGGCTACAAATCGTTGCACTCATTATGTTTCGGCGAAGGCTACAGGTATTTCAATCCTATTCAGGGCTTCTGATAGGGTACGGCAAAAAATGGGAAATTCTGCGGCATTTTCAAGGGAAATTATGCAGCAAGAAAGGTCTATTATGCGGCAAATTATGCGATTTTTTTAAAGCTGATTTAACATTGTTTTTTTAGGCCTCAGAGGAGGAAACCCATTTTTTTGCTGTTCAACGGGCAATTAGGCATAAAAAAACAATAAAAGCATCCAAATTAAATCAACTGTTGCCTCATTTTAGTTATTTTAATCTGAAATGGCTCATTTAATCAATTAAGTGTCACCTGATTCCTCCTTAATTAAACAATGTTACAAATTTCAGTTTTACGTACTAGATAGGCTGTTAATTAAGGTATGTCCATATGCTATTTCAGATGTCAGGCCTCGACAGACCATACAACCTGTCATAACAAAAATAACTTGAACAAAGTAGAAACATTTCTGTGGGTTATACAAACTTGATACACTTGATTCAAATGAGAAGCTATAAATCACTCAATGACATCCCCACAATACACGTTACCATAACTATAACAAATAAGTGAAACCGAACAGTGGATGCCTTTTGTGTATCTAATGCTATTCTTGGGCAAATGATCAATGGCTGGTTAAAGATAAACCAATTTCGAAATAACTTAAAAAGATTTAGCCTCAGTGGGCTACACAGAATTGTACGGTGGCCCACAACGGCAATACACAAATATATATCATATTACTTCATTCTATATCTTAGTACACAAACATATTCATTGGTTGTGCGAGTATATTTACCAGTACAATAAAATATACACCAGTACAACAATATGTATCCCAGTACAGAAATGTTAATTTCAGTACAAAAATATAAACTCCAGTACGGAAAGATATCTCCAATTCTTAGTACACAAATAACAGCTCCAGTACAAAAAAAATTATCAATCTCTCAGTACAAAAACATAGGTTCCAGAACAAACATATTCATCGGTTGTGCCACTATATTCCTCGGTACAGTAAAATTCATGTATACAACAGTACAACAATATGTATCCCAGTACAGAAATATAAATCCCAGTACAAAAATAAAAGTTGCGGTACAAAAAAATTTACCGCGTCCGCTGGACAAGGGTAACGCAGCCTTGGCCTAAATGATCCCATAATCCTTTTATACATCATTTTAGCGCCATTTTCACAAACCGTACAAAGCATCAAACATGGCTTCACTGGATCCATGTTCATTCTGCTCTAAATGCGGATTTTGTTTAGAAAACGAGTTCAAGTTTTGTCCCAAATGTGGTGTAAAAGTAAGAACATTTCCTACTGGCCGTTGTGAAACAACTACGACACCGTTTTCTCTTCCCAACTTTCATACATTCAAGTCTCAAAAAGAGTCAGAGCGAAAGACATTCTTTGCTCGTAAAGCGCATACCGGACACAAGAAGAGAAAAGTCGACGATGAAATGGTAACGATCAACGTGGGGGTGATGAAGGAGAAGGGTGTGATCAAACGAGAAACCTTGCCCTTGAAGGTTCCATCAACAGCATCTGCCGAAGACATTCGCCTCGTGGCAGTAAAGAAACATACTCTGTTCAACAGCAGGTTTATTCATTCACAATCTGAGTACATTCTGGCCTTCAAGGACGGCAGTGAAGTTAAACACATCCCTGGCGTAGGTCCTGAGGAACCCTTTACTTTGAGGAGGTATAAGGAAGAGTCTGGATTTGGATATGCACGAATAACTCTATATCTCTTACCTGAAGGAGATATATTTGAAGATCTTCGACGATATGTTGAGGAAGAGGACGATTTGTTGTGTGATGGTGCCTCCAAAGATTCCAGTGATGATGAAGATTTCATTAAGCCTGCATTAAAACCGTCATTGTACCCTGCTCCACTAAAAAGGCAGAGTTTTAGTTCAGGAAGGGGAAAAAGCACTGCAGCAGCCCCGTCAACATCTTCAGCTGGGGACGATTGCTTTCTGGTCAACTGTCCTACCTGCTGGGGCACGTTTCCCATCAGTGCAATTGGGGAACATACAGATAGGTGTGCTCAGTCTGTAGAAGAACTTCCAGATCCACACCCAGTTAATTCGTCATGTTCCAGGTCAACAGGTTTGTGGTGCCTGTATGATAAGTTATATTGCATTTTTGGCACAATGTAGATGCACGATTTAGCTGTAGATGAACTTGTTTTCTCGATCTAGTAAGTTTTAATTTATGTGGGAGTTCAAGTTTTCAATGTGATTAAGTAATATATGCAGATCAAAGTTTATATGCAAGTATGCTTATAAATTATTGGCAAGCTAAGAGATAAATTGTTCTATGATCATGAGGAGTGTGGTTGTTGTTAAAGCGGTGTAAATGTTCAAAAATTGCCTATGTGGTGAATTAGGCAGTGAGTAAGCATAACGCTTTAGCTTGCTACTTCTAATGACCCTGAGTCCTGCTTGTGGAAAAAAATATTGTCTATGTACTTTCAAACTACCACCTTTTGCATTTGGAGGGGGAGGGGCAGGTAAATAGATTTTTCTAAGATATTGTATCTCTCTTTTCATTTTGTGCTTTAAGCTGTTGTGCAAGAGAAAGGAATGCTGAAAGACCAAATCTGCAATCTTGCAGCAAACGTACAGCAAGAGGAAATAAGGGTCTGACTGTCCGAAGAAATCACCTGTGGTCAGATTTTAGCAGAGCTCGCAGTGATTACTACTCTCCCAAGAACACCATCCAAAATTACTTTTAGTGGCGAGCCAGCAATTGATGATGGTGGACCAAAGCGTGAGTTCTTTTCAGGTGGGCAAGTTCAATTTCTACGGATTGACTTGGGATTAATATTTATTTTGCTTTTTGTGTCTTCAGTAAGAGGGGTGATTTTCTGGATGATAACATCAGTATGATATTGGCTCCCACGGCCCCCACCACCGTTTTATTGAAAGGTTTCAAGTTCTTCATGTAGGATTTTTTTATTTTATAGAAATGATTGAATACTGTAGAAACAGGCTATTTCCTGATGGGTTCCCAACAAAGTCCATGTTAGCTTTGACAAGAAGATGACTTTGTCACCACTGGGGAAGTGATGGCCATGTCAGTTGTCCAGGGCGGACCAAGTCCAAACTTCCTTGCTCGTGAAATTTACAATGTGGTCAGTAGATCATTTGCCATTGAGGAACTGAAAGATGAATCATTGAAAGAAACTTGTGTCAAGGTACAAATTATGTATTTAAAATTCCAGGCAATACGAGAGACTTTATTTTTGTAGCTAATGGGCCGAGTTTTTCAAAGCCCAGTTAGCTGCAGTATTCCTGGGTTAACTACAACAAATCATATGGACTGTCATGGTAAATAACCCTGGCTTTACACCAATCATCTTTCGGACAACTTGGCCCTGATGGAAAACATGATAAGAAAAGATGAACAGTTTTTTTTTAATTCACATAAAATTTTGTTATGCAAAAGAACCTCCTAATAAACACAGTGCTTTGTGAGAGATGCTTTTGAAAGTCTTGTATTTAACAGACATCCACTTCACAGAACACTTGCTAGTTATTGACCAAATAGAATGATTTTATAAATAGCAGCTGAATTGTGATAGCATGCATTTTTAAATGACATATGAAGTGTTTCTGAACAGCAAAGTAATAAATTACTCATTGGCAGTAACAAGAATTGACAGTTTTAGTGTTATGTTATCTATATTTTTCAGCTCAGAAATTAATGCATCAGAAGATCAACTTTCAGACATATTAATGGAAGACCAAATTCTGGATACTCTTCAAGGCATTGGCTATAATGGTGTACCCGCAAGAGAAAACAAAGAATCAATTAAAAAAATCATTGAGTAAGTACTGCATATGATGCAGATCAATACAGTTACAGCTGTCCTAACGTTTAGTGCGTTTGCAGTAATGCATCAGTCAATTCCACCTCCCCAGCCCCTCCTTCCCAGGGCTACTGCAGCCCGGGGTAGGGGGTGGGGGGGGGTATTGTGGGGGCTGGGCGCAGGTGGAATTGACTGATGCATAAGATTCAAACACTTAATAGTTGGAAACCATTGTACCTTAACTCTTGCTCATAGCTGAGCTACATTTTTTTGTTCGCTTTTTCTTTTTAAATGGTTTTCTTTGTAGACATGTACATGCCTACATCTTTATGTGACAGGGTAATGTAAATCTGATGAAGTCAGCTGACTGCAAGGGAAAAATTTAATTTCTTTTGCAAAAGCAAAGCGTTCTTTCCCCTTTACAGGGCAAGATAACAAGTTTTTTGCTCTCAGGGAAGTTACAGTAAAATTATAATGCACTCTAAAGCTTGATGAATCATTCCACTAACCCCGGATAGACCACACGACACTGCCTTAGTAAAATGATGGTTTGTATCCAGGAGTCAAGTGTGTTTGTGCTACTAATGCCTTGTAGCAATTTATTATATTAAATAACGTTAAATGGAATAACAGTAATAGCAGTTTTGTGGGCATCTTTTTTAAATGCAAATAAGAGACCTTTTGCTAAAATTTATGTCCCATTTTGCAAATTAAAAATTTAATGTTCCAAGGAGTATCTGGCTGATTTTAGTTTGTTCTTGTTCCTTCGTTACAGAGCAATTTGTATGCATGACCAATCTCCTACAATATTGTCTAGCATCTCCAAACTTGAAGAAGGATTGAAGACATATGGTCTCTTAAAGTCAATAAGAGAGCACCCACTGATATGGGAACCAGTGTTTGTCTCAGGAAGTGCCCCCAGTTTAACAGCTACAGCTTTTCTTAATGAGCTGCTTGTGGATTTCAGTTTGTCTGATGTTAAGAAACAAAAGGAGATAGATGTATTCTATCATTTTACCAACTACATCACTCAATACAGATGGTTTGCAATAAACAACCTTGAAGTGGGCAGTTGGATCCAGTACTATTCCACCACTGGGATTACCCAAGAAACTGTCTATACAGTTTCTGCATGGCTGTGTAGTTGGATGCCGATGTCGGCCAACCACATCCACATGTGCTCTTAAAATTACCCTGCCTGTACATCTTGACAATGCAGATGACATGAAGAGTATCATGGGTTCAGCTATAGCTGATTCAGAGGGCTTTGGTTTGGTTTAAAAATGAATGTTAATCTTGCCTTGAGATGTGTACTTATTGCCATTTAATATGTTGAAATTTGTTCAATTATTGTAAAATTATTATTCTTTGGACTTGAAGGATATCCAAAAAGAATGTTCAGTAAGGCCACACACTGTAGGGCAAGTCATACCCATGACATACCCATGCTGCCTTTGACTCTTTGTAAATGACACCAAGGACCATGTCGTTACTCTGCTGTTTGTTCTGTGGGATACAATTAAGTGTTTTATCTCTTAAATTGATGAAAAAAAAAAGAATTCTTGCTTTGATTATTACAGTTACCCTTAGGTCAAGAATATTTTTTGGAATAGGAAGATACTGTATATTACCTTTGACCTTTCTTCCATGGAGTATTAATTAAAAAAAAAATTGATATTGCTACATCTAAGTCATAGTTATCCACTTGTGCGTTTGACGTTATGATTTACCAATGGCTGTCCTTTCACATACCGGTAGGTTGAGACATCATTATTAGGCATATCTAGGATATAGAAATTTGTCAAATAATTGCTTGTATTAAAATAGATGTTCTTGTCACCTCAGTCTCTTTAAGCGTCCCCTTGGGTTTACAGTATATGGTGCAGCTGGAAATCAGTGGAATTGAGAAGTTTTTAAGTTCAACCCATTCACTTCTGGAACTGTTGCTGGGTCTTGGGGATTTTATTGGAATTTTTTGGCCAATTTACTTGTTTGGTTTTTGCTTGTTTCTCTGGCCAGTTTGACTGAATTGCATTCATTTGGGAAACCGTAAATAATTATGATGGAACAAGGGGTTCCACACACCCGGGTTCAGGAGTAAATCTTCTAAAAAGTCACCACTACTAAGGTAATCAGTTGAGTATAAGGTGCAGCTGGAAATCAGTGGAATTTTAAGTTCAACCCATTGATTCAGTCACTCATCGGTTAATGTCTGACTAAATTTTCCCATTGTCCAACAAAATCTTATTTGTGGTCTGAAACGATGACCAAACAGATCAAATACCAAAGACTATCATTTTGAAGCTAAAGATTTACATGGTACTGAAGGAAATTTAAATTTAAAATAACTTGATCAACAATATTTCTGGTTTGTCCAACTAAAATGGTGACCTGGTCGAAATTATTGCACTTCTGCATTTCAATAACAATCACATGCAGCATTGCAGCGCCGTAGCTAGTATGAGGCCAACCGAGGCACTCGCCTCGGTAAAATTTTGACGAATTTCGCCGATCATTTTTATTTTACATGAGCGATCATCGGATATTTTTAACGCATCATGATATTACAAAGAATTCAGCAATTCAGTCAGTATAATATGAAAAAATTACCATATCATCGATCTCAAGGGGCTACGTACGTTAACTCAAATTTTTTTTGAACAAATACTGATCAAAACCATTGGCGAGGTTAACGGTCACCCAGATTATGTAGCTTGTTTCTGATTATTGCTTTTTAAATTCCACTCAAATTAACTCGAAAAAAAGTTACCGAAAGGCCCAGAAAACGCTGCAAATCGCATTTCCGAGAGACTAAAGTTCAAAATTTCTCGGGGGGGCATGCCCCCGAACCCCCCTAGCAACTCCCGCCTGCCTCGGTTGGCCGTTTGGTCTGGCTACGGCATTGCATTGAATCAATGTGCTACTACATTACTGACTGGTGCCATTATACCTCAAGAATAAAAATTGTTGTTCTTGCAAAACCACTACGGTCTACAAAATGAAAAAAAGTTTACGTTTGATAGGTCTCATTGTTAAAGGCAGTTGTTCATCATCTACTGGGTAGCAATACTAACAAATTGCAGATACAACCATTCCCGTACGAAACGCGCAGCGCTGTTGTAGCGCTGCAGAATGGCTTCAAGAAGCGCTGCAGAATAGCTGCAAAGAGGCTGGCTGCAGCAGTCGCAAATTTTGGCTGTTCGGGGCAGCGCTATGAAACCGTTTGAAAGCGATAAGCAGCGGTTTAGCAGCGTTGGAAAGGACACACAAAAACGCTGTAAGCGCTGCCAAATAGCTGCAAACGTGTACAAAAATTCAAAGAATTATGGCATTTGCCTAAACCGGCTTAGTAGCAGAGTAAAAACCACTAGAAAGTCAAAGTGCAACTTATACTTATTAGTATCCATGCGTACATGTTACAAAAGCACGTGACATAGAACAAATCTGCAACAGTCTCGCTTTGTAAATATTTAGCAATCACGGTCACTCATCTGAATGTAAGAACATCCATTAACATGCAGACATTGAAAATTATCTTTTTTAAAAATAAAGAGAACAACATCGATTGTTCTACATAAAGTTTACATGCACGGCCATTAGGCAAATGATATTTTGATTCGTTGCAACGGGCTAAGCTGGACATTGCTCACCTTGACGTTTCGTCCATGATCCACGATCTTCTACACT